ACGGAGCCGTAGAACGAAATACTCGAGTTAAAACCCAATGAATGACAGAAAAGGCATGTTTGAGAGAAATGTACATCAGGGGAGTTTCACTGGCATTGGAGAGAACACGGCTGCGACAATCCCAAGCAGAAACAGGACCCGGGTCGGAATTTTGAGAGCGGTCTTATCAATGCTGGAGTTAACCGTCTGTCTGTTCGAATGTATGGAGGACGCGCAAAGCGCACTTGATGGACTAACAAGTGTAGTTGCCACATTCGGCATATGCACCTTCAAAGTGTAAAGTGATGCTGCAAGACTGGGTTTTGCCCATTCCCGCTCTGAAACTAAATGGCCAGGATTTAGTTGTGGTGGATTACTTTCTCTACTTGGGTAATTGCGTTACTAATGACAGTAGTGCAGTAAGCGAGATAACCGCCAGCATGTCCAGGGCTCGAGCAGCATACGCGGGAATGGGGTTTGCAGTTGGCCATCGGTAAACATCGTAACAAGAAAGGCAAAGAACAGAACCTTGGGGAACCAACATTCACAGGCACGCAACGAGATATGGTCCCATCTACGGAGATGCGGCCTCTGGGGTAGCTTGCAAGTTCCGAAGAAAAGCCAAACTTGGCTAGTTTAGCCAGCAGACGTGTGTACCAGACAGGACCGGAAGCTTTGGATATATCCCATGACACCATATGAGTTCCTTTCTGATGGAACTGAGTGGTGTGAAAAGGTGATTTGCTGTGGGGTATTCGAGTAAGGTAAAACTGGAAGCAAAATGGGAAACTGACACTACCAAGCAGGTCAGACACCAAGTAGCCAAATTTTTGACTGGGTGGGAATTTAGTGGAACAGATGTTACGAGAGATTGCCTTAGCAGGTGACCAGAACGTCCAGTTTCTAGGAACAGCGATTGCTAACTGTGCTGCGTAAGTGCTCCTTAGCCTTGTGTATGATGGTTATACAGTTGTTATGTGCTTGCAAGAACCATCGGCGGAAGCGGGAGGAAGGTGAGCGACGACAGGCGTAGAGGATACTGGGTTTAGTGAAATAAGTGCATACCTTGGAAGATAACTGGAAAATTTCGTATTCGAGATGGAGACATCGGTGGAGAAGCAACAGTCATTCAAGGGCAGGAAGGAAGTCAACGAGGATGCATCAATCAGCGGAACCGTATCACCAGTATGTGTGTGGAATTAGGAGGAACAGTAGAACGGATACTTTGGGTAGAGAGAGAGCGGAATAAGACTAGTCTGGTGAGCCCAGGGAAGGAATTGCGGCAATATTTGGAAATGATTGTAGGTTGGATGTGAGGACACGATCGAGGGTATGAGTGTGGTAACCAGCACGGACGAGAATTCAACCAGTTAGTGAAGGCTGTTTTATAGGATAAATGATTCTGCTTCGCGTCCAAGGAGCGATGTCCCTGAAGGTTAACAGCCTACCCCTGCTATGGACTGTAGAATTACTTAAAAGTGTGATCTCTTTGGGGTCTGCTTCGACAATAATATCAATGCCGGTAAAATGTAAGATTATTTACAGAACGTTATCCGGTGCGGCAATGATTGAATGAAGGGAACCCAAGCTTTGGCGACATAGTCTGGAACTCGCGACTGGAGAGATCTAAGTGGGAGAATAAAATAAAGGAAGTTGAATGATAAATAAAAGCACAAACGTCACCTCTTGAAATGAATCAAGTGGAAAGAGAATAATTTGGGAAACTAAAGTTAGGTAGTTGGAAGTAATGTGGAACGATTGTAGCTCGGGATTTGGATGTTGTTGGTGTGTTCTCCGAGTTGGAAGTGTTGTTCATAGACCTTTCGTAGCCAGGCTGGGCAACATCAGTGCAACTTTGGGGAATCACTGATGTTGCCTAGCCTGGCTACGAAACGTCTGCGAACAGCACTTCCAGGGTTATCTGCAGAAGAAAGTTGTGTTTCGGATGGAAATGGAGCGAAAGAAATTAATGTACAGAATCAATATTGTTCAAGCTGCGAGTAATCGATGGTGTTTGAGAAGTGATCCTTTTAGTTGTAGTGTTCACGGTGAGGTGAGAGGCAACCGGCGACCTGGCCCTGGGACATGATGTGGCGAATCACTAGGTCCCACTGGCTAGGCGATAGCATGGCGGCATCCGTTCGTTTGCGATTTTTAAACAGAAATGCATGTACTTCGTTCAAAATGATCTTGTGACCAGAATAGTGTGGCATCAAATCCCCCCAGTGAAGATGGTAGATTGGGCCGGATGTATTTGTAACAAGTGGTACGCCAGTTTGACTAGGTGCTGTATAATCGACTGCTTGAAATGCTTGCTGTTTATAATCTCTGGCATAGTCCTCCAGCAATGTGTTCACCTAAGATGACAATCGTTCAGGCTCCTCAGCTGCTCCATATAAGTTATGTCGGTTCTGCGCACGATGAGCTCTCTTTACCTTCGATGAAGTTATGTTTTAGGTTGTGTATTATGTTGAATACTCGTAATCTTTTAACTGCTGGATCACTGTTAATCACTGCCAAATCTATCTTGTATTTCAGGTGATCAAAGCGAAAGAAGTGAATAATGTATCTCTTGTGTATCATTCCTATACCAATAAATTGTATTATTTACCATTAATTCGTCGCAGACTTCGGTACTAATCGGCAGGGTTTTGCTGAAATTTGTAGCCACTTGTTCGCATGCCATATGCAGGCGGCTGGTACTGATTTTTGAGCCAACTCCCGTAGATAAGTTAATGCTACTGTTTGGAAAATCCTCATTTCCAGTTCTCTCCACTCAACACGCGGCAATTTTTCTGCCCAGTGTGGTATATCATTCAGAATTGGACTAATAGGGTAGGCTATTTAGCAACCATTTGATTAGTCCAGCCAAGATCTGTCGTTTATTAAGGCACATTCCATGCCCGCACACGACGATCCGGTCGTTAATTTGGCCTTAGGGCTATTCAACGCGACGGAATAGGTGAAAACTGATCAGAATAGAGATGCGATACATTCAGTATTTAACATTGCTTGTGGATCTACGACTGAATCATGTCCGAGATATTTGTTATCACGGAAATCAGTGACTGAGGTGGATGAATCCCGAGTGTCTTCACATTCTCCGAACGTGCGCTGTATTGGATGTGGGATCGTTGATTCCGGCTTCTTGATCCCGGAATTCTGTTTCCATCCGAATAAACTATTCAAACCACTCTCCCGTTACGGTCTTTATTTACGTTATCATCTGTTGATTCGTTCGTTGAATGTTATTCAGTCTGCCTGGAGTTGTTCCCTGAGTCTGACTTGTTCCATTCTGGATGGCATGTCGGGGCTAACTGGTGCAACAACACCGGGTCTTCGCGACCAGTTGTGAGGTGAACTCATGCTTATCTCAGATTGTGCTCCATTGGTTAGATTGGATCGAATCGGGGGCCCGTTATTTTTCTATATCAGGACTTGATCCGAAGTTACTAGCCGCACTGTAGTGAACGTGCCCTGAGTGGCCATGAGGTTGTGAAAGTAGATGTTCTTGCTGAATCATGGGGCACGAAAGTCAGCTTCGCATATCCGGACGTCTATCCTGTGACTTGAATAATGGGACTCTTCATACGTTCCACTTTTTTACTAGACGGGGTTGTAAGTTGTCGTATAGTTGACTGTTATACGTCTCTTGCACCTAGAGGTATAAAGTTCCTACGAA